TTGTTTCGATGCGGATGATTTAAATAAATTTCGTTTCCGTGTCACTTCGATACTTCCTGATATTTCGTGTAATTAGTGGTGTGTAGCCACGTTAGGATTTGACGTTTTCAGTTAAGCTTTGTGCCAAAGTGCAACAATGTTTCTGCTATTGGAGCAAACCGATTTATTCGAAATGTACAAAAAATCAACCTGTTTATGGAAAAATGCAAAATAGAGATAAACGAATTACGTTCAGGTGTGGTGTTAAGTAAAATTACGGTAGATTTGTTTCCAAAGGTGTAAGGAAAATTATATTCTCTAATAAAGCTGACGAGCAATATGAGCGTTCTTGGTTATGCTTTAATCCTTATATCTAACTTGTTTTCGTTGGTGGTCGCTGCAGGCGCAATTCCATGTTTGGTCTGTCTCGTCCACTTTACACCGTTGTTCAGAAAGATTCATCATTGGGTAGTTCAGCGTGTTTATTGACGTCTGTTTCTGACGGAGAAGCAATTGATATCTGCGGATTTCTGCCTGTTGTTCTTCAGATGTGTTACATTGGCGAAGCATAGAATTTTCTGGTCGCAACTGCTGGTTCCTTCTCATTAGTTTTAGTAGTAATCAAGAGCTCTGTACCTTAAATTGTGGTGGATTAGGCGGCGGAATCGAATAGATAATTTTTCATCGATGTTGGTAGTCCGTTATCCAGCAACAATATTTCATGTGAGTGAAATTTACCCCTGATGCCTTCCTCTCACGGCTCTCGCCGTTGATTGAATTGGACTCCATCGCGCAACAGAGGTAAAGGTAGCTAGCGATTTTCTCCATTTCCTTGCTACCCCTATATTCACTTGTCGACCTGGAACGTCGTAATTGCATTTGGATCAACGATGAGATCTGAAAGTGAATTTCAGTGAGACAAATTTACTTACGTAAACCGTACCCTACCAGGCTTAATGGCAAACCCTAGATATGACTGATTAATATATAATAGCAAAACATTCTGATTCAAAATAACAGTTTTTCCGTGAGATGAGTCAGAGCGAAAAGAACGGCTGCCCTTCGATGAGTCTCAGTCCGTCGTCTAAATGGAGTTGAGTGATCCTGTGCTTGTCTTTTTTAAAAGACCGCTTAAAACACTTGTACAACAGGTGAACTTATTCGCTTAAAATGAAATTGCCAGAAGCAGTTGGTTGGGATGGATGCAAATTCTTCAGCACCGCAGTAGCAAGCTTGCTGAAATGGTTCCAAGTTGTTCCAAATGTCAGTCAGTTGTTTTATATGAAGATAGGAGAGAGAACGAGGCGTAAAATCCAAAATTTGGCGAAGTCTCGGCATTTTCGAGACCGCTCCTTGGTCATCGCCAGACTGAGATAGAGTACCGTCCTTTACAGTTTAACCATTTGTTCAGTCTGATGTATGCAAACTTTATTTTACAGTGTTTTTTCGGTACGCTTTATTGTGCACCTCAGCAATGAAGACTCCCTTTTGCACGAAAATTTTAAAACCACTATGCCTAAAATTGTTCTTTCAGCAGTCGTTTAAAGGCGGATTCAGATTATCAGTTTCAATACCTTTGAAGCCAACAGTGACTACCATTGCTCTTTCTTTCTGTTATCTATCTAGCGACTCCCATGATCATACAAACTTGAAAAACAATTTCATTAGAATCGTAGCGTAAAGACGACATGCAAATCATGCAATGATATATGTGCGATTTCAGCAAAAATTGAAAGAATGTAAATCATAGACGGATTGCGCTTGTCTTTTTCTTAATTGGTCGTCATAATTTCTATCCTTACTATTTCAATCACGCTGTTACAAACAAATCCGCCATTTTTTAATTTTATCTGCTTTCTCTGCAATGGACTGTGATACATTGAAGGTAAATAAACAAATATAAAGTGAAGCTCTAGGAAACAGAATTATGCCCTCGCAAAATAATAAAGATGGTAAAGCATTTGTATGCAAACTTACCTCTAAAAAAATACAGGTCTTATTGAAACTAAATGCACAATCAGTTTTATACTGAATGCATATACAAAGAGAGCCTGAGCATATGTCAGTGCTAATCTGGATTTTGAATAATTGCAAATATAAAAGTATTTCTGTTATCAGTTTTTGTAGTTTACATAAGATGGTTTTAATGTGGGTATTTTTTAAAAGGCATCGACACAAAATGCACAAAAAATTTAAGTTTGCCATATCTGCCTTATAGCGCTTTGAAAAAGTAAATTGCAATATTACGTGATAATTATTAATCACACTT